AACCTGCAGAACAGGGGCAATAACTCCATATAAAAACAATGTACAAGGCTGAATTTCCTTGAAGGCAGGCAAACAACCACAGCAAATTGGAAAAAGAAAATCTCAAAAACTGTGACCTGTGGAGTGTTAATAAGAATTGCAATCTAACAAACTGATTGACTGAGATGATAATATTCTCTCATATAAAATGTGACTTAATACAAAAATATTAATTGTTAATGGTTAATACCCAGTGTCGAAACATTTGATTCAAGAGTTTTTATATTTGAACCACAAAAGAGTGTCAGTGTCATGCTGTATTTTATAGAAAGTTATACCACAGTTTTGAGCAAGGAAATCGTTGGCTATCACTGCTTAATTAGAATATGCTTTAGCTACGACCCAAAAATATATTGTCAAAATATGGTAAGACATAAACAATAGCTAATCCATCATTGTTACCTTGGAAGCATGTATATGAAGTTTAATAACAGATTTTTATTGACTGGATGATGCTATAGACAACTAATATGAAAATAAGGCTTTTCCCTATCTCGGTTCTAAGGCTATTTTAGAATCCTTAACGTCTATTTTTCACCATGACTCTTCTTTGCTTGTCAAAAGGAATCATTTCTTGCCACATCCAACACAAATTCATAACAATCCAACACTATTTTCATGTTGAATGTAGCGATCCAAAAACACAAACAAAATTCGTTTGAAATGATCCGCCATTATGGAACACAAGCCTGCGCAGACTGGAGGTTACGATTTCATAGCTGTGCTCTGCCAAAATTCTTGCTGTATTTCAATTAATGGACAAAACTGTCAATATTGACACCACTAACGTTTATATATTCAACATACATAAACAATTATTACATAAAATCAATTAATACATTATTGAAGTACAGCAAGAATTTTCTTTCGCGATAACATTCCATTCCTAAATTTGGAATATTGGCTTAGCGCAGACGTGAGTTTCATAATAGCGGATCCTTTCAAACGAATTTTGTTTGTTTTTTTGGGTCGCTAAAGTCTACATGAAAAAAATTTGTGTCGGATTTGGCAAGAAATGATTCCTTTTGCTGAACAACGAAGAATCACCATGAAAAATAGACAGTAAAGGATTCTAAAATAGGCTTAGAAGAACTGAGGTGGGGGGGAGCCTTATTTTCATATTAGTTGTATATAGCATCAGCCAGTAACGGATAGAGGCTAGAGCCGATAAGAATCCGTTACTAAAGTAACTAGTGTATAAACACTGCCCTCCTGGTTTTTTTTTTTAAATTTTGGTGGTGGGGGGAGGGGAGGGGGACAGAACTACATTTTCTGGGCCTGTGCAGTGGCTAAGTCAAACAACAATCAGACCTTCATAAACACCCAAAACTTGTTTTCTGGGGTGGTTTTTTTCAAAATTTTAGATTGAAGAGCCATGTATTGGGTTTGATGTGGACAGTGGATGGGGAATCCAAGGAATGGAAAGTGTTTGGTTGCTACTTCTTACACTACATGGATTATTGCTTGATCTTTTATGAAAATAAACTTTTGATGTCCAATTTAAGTTGGACTTGTGTTCATTCTTTTGAGTGCTACACGAGAGAAATTATATATTTTTATGGCATGGGTAGGGCCTAATGAATATAATTTTAAAATTTGATAATAATAAAGATTGTCTGATTGTAATCCATTTTATTGCCCACTTCTAGCCATATCTGCTCTTTTACACAAAACAAAATATTTCGAAATTATCCAAGTGGAACAAAAAAGGAGCAAATTTTTAGCCCCTCATTTGAAACATGGAAGACAAGAAAAATAATGTATTTATTTGATTATGGGCCAATTTTATATAAAGGATAATTTGAGTTTAGAAAGCTGTGTACCTATCAATCAAAATTAAATTTTGGCGACTTTTTATGATTGGAATCGAGGCACGATCCTGCTATTCAGTCTGGGGGCCATGACATCATGCAATGACAGCAGTGTAATCCGCTGGGAGTATCCTATCGTAATGTTCTCAAACAACGGAATAAGCGAGGTGATGATTTAACACTGTATATTAACAAAGTATCTGATGATGAAGAAGAGTGGGATGCCGGTTCATATCTTGGTCGTAGTAACTACTGAAAGGCACCCACCTGTCTATATGAAGGAACAGCTGCGACAACAGGTGGACAGGGCATGTGTTGTAGCCGTGACAGTTGGTCGGCAGGCGATACGACTATACCATTCCCATAGCGGTTGAGTCGACTATCGTCAACTAATTTCTGGCACGCGCCAATTTTAAACACAATGAAAGAGCAAACAGAAACGCGACAAATAAATAAATAAGTAACAATACCGTAACGTAAACGGGTCATAAAAAATAGCGTGAATGGTAGTCACGGATATTTGAGCAGCATCGACAGAGCACTTCAAAGGCAATTTATTTTCTATACATTATTTCAAAATGTTCGACATTATATATATGGAATTCAACAAAATTACTATGCTTTTGGAACGAGAAATAGATGGGGGTTAACGTCCACTCGACACAAACTCGGTTATTTCGGGATTAACATACCCATTCAGTTTTATTTCAATAACTCGCGTGCACGTAGGGGTCTTTAGCAGTAGGAGGAAACCAGGGGACCCGGAGAAAACCCACGAGGTTGGAGAGGCGACCTAGTCTTTGTCACGTGCAAGCGCGAATCGAAACCACGCCATTTGACCCAGTGACAGACCTTGTGATGATAGACCCACAAAGTACTATTTTTAATAGACATGCGTAAATTAAACAGGTTTTTTTTAAAAAGAATATCCAAAAGTTAAAACCGTCTGATATATTGAACAACATTAAATGGACTTTCAAATCGAGAGCTTTTGAAAGCTAAAACAGTGACAATTTACATCCAGTAGATTTCCAAGGGTACGAATGTGGGTGAAATTGAGAATGTCTGAAATAAATAATTTTATAAATTAGTGTAAAACGGAGTAATCATCATCAGTCGGCTAAAGGTTATCTTGCTTGGGCGACACGTGTTTAGTTCTCTTTGTTGTTTTGGCGGGAAAACGTGAATCCCGGGGAATCTTTTTGTCATTCAATATATATATTGAACCTTCATAATCTGCATTTACTCATCGCCGTGATATCGGTCATATTTTCCAATACTCAATCTTTCATAGCAAAACAAAAATCACCACATACTGATTTCGTGAAAACGTTTTTTTTATAAGTGTTTTTAATTTGTTTTTTTACTGCAAACGACGGTCTTCGGGTAAATATCAAATACCTTTGATCGTGGAGACAACCGAGACGTATTTTCCGAAAACCCCAACAAGCAATCGCTAGCTTCCAACAATGGAAATACAGCCATGTTTCTGATAGATATTGGCGGGGAAATTGTGCTTTTGCAAAATCGCAATAGGCCCTATTCTGTTTAAGTGATATTATTCTCTGAAGAAAATTTGTAAACTTCTTTTCTCTTGAAAAATTCTTGCAGCTATAGTTGTCAAATCTATTTGAACTATATCACAATTCTATGAGTACATGATGTATCTATAGACACCATTAATGGATCTATATAAGAAAATGTACAGTAAGGGTTCAGTTTCATAAACGGAGGTAATTAATTGGCAAACAAAAAGTTTGAATACGTGGATTAAACCTCTTGTTGGATAATATAAACCAACACTTGAAGAGACGATGGTGTTTCGAGATTTCAATGAGGAGTGCTTCAAGCAAGCTAAACGTTTATCGACCAAATGGGGAGCCGTCAGCTGGTGCAAGTTGAGCCGACACTGGACAACAAAACGTTGTATAGATTCTCGCTGTTATTCCTCTCTCGTAACACGGGCTTGTTTCTCACATTAATCATTCAAAATATAGATTTCCATTGATGCTTTGGGTGCCTAGTAGTCGTGTGAGTAGTGTACAAGTTTACATCATTCAAAAATCGACATATCTGAGAAATGCACAACCCTCGCAGTATTTCTTGGCGTGAAGCATTTTTGTCTTGGACGGTCTCACGCGCGGGATCGCACCGCGTGCAGAATTTGTTTCAATTTCACATGAATCGAAATTAATTCTTGTCAGAAATGTTTCATTCCCTTCTTATATGTACTATTGGCTAGAATTGATGAAAAAAATATTGTTCATTGATAAATCAATGGAGACCATCTGCTTTTCGTTCCACAGCTATCCTGTTTCTCATGAAAACTTATCAAAAGTTTCTTAAATCCAAAATTTTGGTCAATATCCAATTTGGTTGGTGAAATGATAAAAATGAGATATTGTGAAATGTTTGATATCAAATTACTTTAACTGTCAATACCTAACGGTTAATTCACAAAATTAATTCATATTCAATGATTTTGTGCCAAACTTGCAGGCAATTTGTTTGATTACACAACAGTATGTAAAATGATTTTATGACATTTTAGAACATGTTTGAGCAAATGTTTGTAACATTTTAGAATAAAGGTTTGATTTTATAACACTTGAAAACAATTTTTTTTCCTATTACCAATATATAGATTTGTAATATTTTAAATCATAGTTTTGGTTGAACAATTTTTGTGTAAAATTTGAAATTAATTTGTTTCAAATAGCATTAATTGTTTTTCGTAACCAATTGGAGAAAAATTTGACACAACTTTAAATTTTAAAGAAAAGGAGTTGGAAGGGAAAGAAAAATTAAATAAACAATGATGTATCAATAAACTCATTTTATCCCAAGTTTAAGATCAACACAATACTTCAGTCATACTAAGACTAAAATCTGATTAATTGTTTTTCTGGAGTTATGAGCTGTTAAGGGTTCTGTTATTATGTGCACACAGCTGGATCTTAGTGTTTCTTCACATCAGTATGACTAGGTAACACTTTAATTGTCAGCCTCACATGAACTATGTGGACAAGTTGGAACCAGGCTTGAAAAATCCTGAAATTCTTTTCGGGTAACGATCGGGGGACATCCAAGAGTCCAGTTCTCTTACTGCACGACTACCATCGCTCCCTTATCCAAAGAAACAAAACAAAATCAGATAATTCTTTTCATATTAACATTACATAAATAAAAACACAACAACATAATGACATGTATAATTAATAAATTATAATCTATGTTTTAATAACTTCAAATTCTTCAAATAGAAAAACCAGAATATAGTAACATGCACCACAATAAAATTAAATAGCATTTTGAGTATTATAATATCCATTCACAAAGAAATAATAGAAATGTAAAAAAATTTATTACTACAATTCTTAGTGTCTTATAAAATTCTTTTATCCCTTCCCCAACTTGCACTCCCCCATGATGCTAAATACATTGTATTTAATTCCTGGTTTGAAATGATAATGTATTTTATAGTATAGCAAATTTAATCAAGTTATCAAGCATACTATTTGTAAACAAGCTTGTTAACTAATGTAATTAAGTAGATTGTTGCTAATGAAAAGTTGATAGCCACTTCATGGCAATAACATCTCATCTCTATATAAAGCTGAATACATTTGATTTTATACCAAATTGTGCTAAATTAAGTAGAAAATTATTAAACCGAGTTGCTGACATTTAGTAATTTATTTGAATATACACACCATACAATAATTCTATGGAATAAGATTATTGTGATGTTTTGATTAGGGCTGCTTGTTACCATTAAAAAATATTAGGGAAATAAACAATAATTGTATTCCAAAGAATTGTGATCAGTGTCTTGCAAATTTTTGCAAAATTTTACTTTTTGAGATTGATTTACAATGTATATTAGTATTCCACCAGTATAATATAACTGGTATGATATATTTACCAGAATATCACAACACAATTAATACAGATTATTATACAGTATCCACCGTTGATATTTTAGCCAGTCTGATTAAAACACCGATCTTATTTCGTTTTGTTTTTTATAGTTCAAAATTTCGTTTTACTTCCACTAGGATCTGGAAGAGTTGTTATATTACTGGCGTTTTGGTTGATGTGAGGGATAAGCCAATGATATAGCCTGTTACGGCGACTTCTTGGTGTGCCAAGCACGGAACTGTGGGTAACCTACTAGAAACGCCAACACTGATTGATTAATCAATGTCTGACGTCATAGGGTCAAAAGCCGCTCGTACGACCCCTGACACGACCTTCGAGTAAAGCTTGTCAGATCTTCATGTAGATTAAGCCATCGAAAGTATAAAAAAAAGAAACGAAATATAGATCTGTATTTTAATCAGATTGATATTTTAGCATGTCCATTACTTATGTGCTGAACAGTAACGCCAGTACTCAATTGTTTGTGGTTTTGCAAGTGTACTGCATAATGTAGGCTACATTAAAATTTGTAGCTTGTCAAAAAAGTTTCTCATGAAGTATCTCCAACATTTGTAAAATATTGGTTGATGTTTTCCTATGGACTGTTATGTAAATGTATCATAGATTTATCTAGTATAGAAATTATTTGTGTAAATACAAAACAACAAATCAATAATAATCATAACATGAAGAATAACAGAAACATAATTACAAGATCAGAAATATATTTTCCTTTAAGAGAGGGAGAGATACTGACATATCAATATATTTACTTCTTGTTAAAATCCTATTCTCATTCAATGAGCCTGGAGTGAATATAAAACTGATTTCAGGGTTACATGTAGGCCTATGTAATTGCACAAAATAATCACCAAACATAAAAAATAGGGATATTACTGTTCCTAAATTGGTGGCAAGTTAATGACTTATTCCTTAAAATCTCAAATCATTTAAAACAAGCCAACAGTGAGGCTGATGTTCCAAGCTGCAATCCAAAATAAATAAATGACATGTCATATTAATTAATTGCACCTTAATCTGTTTGAAAAGTATCAAGCAATCGAACTGATGATACTTAGTTTAAGCAGAAAATATTTAGATTGAACTCAGTCAAGGTGTTGAAGTACCAGGTAGTGAAACTATACACTAAGTTTCATAACTCTTCATCAGTTAAAATCAAAGTTATCTTGTCCCAAAGCATCGACCAATGAAATGGCTTAGTCTGCTTCACTTAACCGGAAAATGTTAATCATTGAACTCAGTCAAGACATTCACCAAATGAACATCTACACCAAATTTAAACATTCTACCTCAATTAAAAGCCGAATTTTATGTTCCAAAGTTTTGAGCAATCAATTGGGCTTATCGCTACTTAGCCTAAGCAGAAAATTCTCATCATCGAACTTAGTCAAGGTATTGATATAATGAATCTATTCTTTGAGTTTCATCACTCTCACCCAATTAGAACCAAAGTTATTGTGTTCCATGGTCTAAACCAATCAAATTGTTTATCTCTTTCTTCGAAAGGCAGGGGACAAAAAATGTAGTACTATAGAAGACAATCTACATATACAATCAAAAGCCAACCTCACTCATATCTCTTCCCTTAAATTATACACATGGTAAGAATTCTTCTGTTAGTCGGTTCTATTTAAATAGTTCTCTTTTGATTTAAACGGAGTTAGCTTTTTAACTTTAGGGTGCAAATTTGATAGTACGAATGGAGGCAATTGAGTATGCAAACACATGAAACAACAAGAGCATCGCTAACGCTGCAATATATGTCCACATTCCTGCTTCGATTGATATGGTACTTTTTAAAATGAAGAGAATGAAATATGAAATTGCTGTATCGACTGCAAGATGACAAGAGGCAAAGAAGGCTAGGTGTTGGGTTTGTTTTGCCAAAATATTGGAATTGTCATCTCGGTTTATTGAACAGTAAAGGTGATAACATTGACTTATGAACAAAAAACTTTGATAAATTAAGATATCTGCTATTAGTTAGTTAAAATTGTTAGTAATCAGACACTAGTCATTGCTCAGTTATGAATAACTGTTCACTCCACGAAGTTAGCAAATGCTGGTCAAAGAGCTTTGTTTACGTCACATGACTTCTCGCTCACTTTTCCACCCGACCAATACCGTTAGAATTATCCCTGCTTCTATTCAATTTCTTGACGAATTGTTTATACAGATGCTTTGATTTTCTAAAGGAATCATTGATTTTCAGATTGAATTAACTTTTAATAAAGCAGAAATAAAAATAATGCCAACTGTAGACTGATTATCATTCAGCGTCAGACATGTCATGGCTGTCCGTGATCCGGAAAAAGTATTTGACTAAATTAATGGACACTTAGGTTTTATAGTATAATTTAGTATCTTGCATTGCATAATGCATTTTCAAGAAGGTATTCGCTTGAATGAGAAAAAACGAGTTTGCTAGGGTAAATGAATAATATCCAATCGTTAAAGAACACATGCATGGTCGAAAGAACACAAACTTTTTTAAAATGTTTTTTGTGCCTCCTTCATGTAAATATTCTTAATTGAAATAAAATATAATTAATATACTGGTAATTAAAATTGTAATAAACAACATAGACCAATATTTTTAACAAGTCTTCATGGCTATAGATAGATCTGTGGTTGAACCAGCTCATTAAATTTTGTTTGTAAATTTGGTACCATACTGTACTTAGGCTAAAAACTTTTAATAATATTGACTAGAAAGTGTCAAATGAATACTCCGGGGGTATTTCCAACTTTTAATACATGTTTTTTTTAACTTTTAAAGATAAATTGAAATTATTGACATTTTATAAAATATCGCTATATAATGATTATATCGCGATGTTTTCAAAATATATTGCGATATCTGTGTCCAGGAATATCACCAGCTCTACTAAGTGTACTGTTTAAAATAAACATAAGAGTTCCATGGAAAGCAGTAAGTGAGTAGAAGATGGCAATTTAAGTCGACCCATAGCCAAAATAAGCCAGTTTAGAAAAAAAAAAGCATTCTCAATGATAGGTGGTGAGCTGGGTTTTCAAAACCTGATCATCTGCCTCACCATTGTGACAGACGATGGTAAGCTAGCTTAATGATTGCTGGCATTTTAAAATCCGCTAAACTTAAGCGCCTGCAGAGCATATCAGATAGTGGAAAGATTGGGTAAAAATATAAAGTTTCCAGATAAGGGACACAGTCAATAAACTATCAAATTCACTAGATCATGAATAGAGAAGGAAGAAAATGGAGAGTTTAACATGCAAACTAACAGTAACACACATATAATTATTACTGTTGAAATATAATTTGATTACAATCTGAATGAGGTATAACAATTGTCTGTGCATCCCCTTCTACAGTTGTATCTTGATCTAATAACGTGTGATATGTGACATAATTTACTGTACAATTACCCTCGACATCAGTAGAACTAATAACCAAATTACCCTGTTGTATGGCAGATTCTAACTGATCGGGACTTATCTCAGAATCTATAACAAAATTAACAGTATTAGAATCAGGATCAGCATCATTAGAAACACTGTCCACCCCTTCTTTTTTCACATCATCCGATTTCGAGTTGGTCACTCCATGAATTCGACTGAGATGGCGCTGAAGATGGTGTTTATGTCGAAACGAATAATTACAAACATGACAAATAAACTGACCAATCGTAGTGTGCGATTTAATATGAGCTTGACATAAGGCCTCTTTGTTGAATCTCCAAGTACAACCTTGAAAAGTACAAGCAAATGGTCTATTCATATCGTGTACACGTTTGTGTTTTTTTAAAGTCGAGTTATCCAAATAAGCCTGACCACATACATCGCATAGCACACTGCCTTCACTATGAAGCTGTCGATGAGAGTGTATTAAAGAATTAACATTTGAGGTAAAAGAACATTGTGTACAGCGAAACAATCTTGTTTTATGAGTTCTACGATGAGCGGAGAGATAATTCTTTGTTTTAAATGCTTTACCACATTCATCACATAAATATTTATTTTCCGTTTTATGAATATCAACATGTTTACGTAAATATCGTAGACGATTAAATACCTTTTCACACTGAAGACATGGATAATGACCGGGCTTATCCTGCGATTCCACACCCCGCGATTTTTTAACTTTCAGCTCTTTGGATCGTTGACTATTAGCTAAATATTCAGACATTCTGAGTAAATTTTGCGAGGAATCTAACTCTGGAGATTTGATTTCAATAAACTGATGTATAGCCATTATATCAGTATGCTCTACAGACATATGTTTACATAGAGATGTTCTCCAACTCGTTACAAAATCACAGTGTAGACATTTAAAACCATGTTTACCATATGGAAATTTTTTCCCATTTATTGTATTGTTTGTCAAAATAAAATGAAAATCGATTTCTTCTGTGGGATTATTTTTCAGGAGTTTTGATGTTTGACTTTTGGTTGCGGTTTCAGTTTCGGTTAAAGTTGAGTTTTCTATACAGTTCTCCAAAATAGGTTTTTCTACATTTAATTCAGCATTTTCAATGGGGATTATTTTTTCTTCCTCATTAATACTGAGTTCTTGAGAATTTGAGTTTTCAGGCAGTGGAGCATTGGGTTCCATTAATGAATCATTATCAAATATATTCATATCACCAAGTTGATCATCTGTTTTAGTGATAACAACGTGGACAGTGTTTAATTTATCTGTCATGGAACTATCTGGTAATGCTTGATTATCATTAACAATAGCTGGGCTTTTTTCTTCTACTTGATATTGTTGATCAATGGTTTGACTATTGATATCGCTAACAGGATTATTGATAATATGTTTTCGGTTGATCTTAACTGGGCTGTCACTTTTTATAAACTTTACATAGTGTTTTTTCTTGTAATGATCACGTAGAAAAGACTGTTTGTTATACGACTGGCCACAAAGAGCACAGCCTACGGCCTGAGCTGTAGTTGCATCTGAAATGTAAAGACTCAACAATTAATGAAAATCAATATTATAGAATTCTTCTTCAAAACTTTTTCAAGATGTAATGGTAGGGCTGTCAGTCATGGAGGGTCAAGATGTAATAGTATGGCTGTCATTCAAGGAGCGTAGCTGAAAACTAAATGAACGAAAAACAGGAATACCGGTAGATATTGAAATAAAATGTATCTGAGGGCAACACAATATTCATGATTAGTGGAGCTGTGAAATATAACGGTAATTGACAGTATTTCAAAAAAGATTTTTTACTTAATGCTCTTAATATCTCAGGCATTGGACTAAGGGAACCACAGTGACTCAGTGAGTAAGACACTGGCTCACTAGCCAGGTTCCGTGAACAGTCCTGGTGTTGTTCCATATTATGATTTTGTGTTTATATTTAATTGGGGGTGCAAAAGTGTCTTACAATGCCACTGGTTTAGATACATAAGTACATCCAGTGGCATTTCCTGTACTGGGTGATACTAGTATCTTTATGTATAGCATTCGTTGTAAAACTAATTCGGAGAGATTTTGATTTAACAGTTTTTACTTATTTTTGAAACAGGCTCCAAAGCGTTTTGGTTCTGTTATGCAAGCTCATTTTCGACGTTCCAAACTAAATGTTTGGTGCTAAGACCCCCTAAAGATAAATTTTAAATGTTCCTATTATTAATTAGAACAGGTTTCGCTTCAGTTTTTATATTTTACGCCAACATTTATTACTTTAAATCTTTCAATGAAGAGAAAACTAAAACCTGCAATTGTGATACTAATAATATACTATATAATCAACTATTAGCATTAATTAATTTCTATGGTTGGAAATTCTTTATTTCTGATTGCTGAAGTTCATTGTATAACTATATAACGCCGATATGAATTATGAAGTAGCATTTTAAAAAAATATATGAATAAGTTTTGTAACTTTTTGGGGTAACTTGTTGTCAAGTCGATTGGATATTTGAGTAGCTGTGATTTTGAATAATTAGGGATCAGTTCTGGGACCCATAAAAGTCCTTTCGAATTTATAATCAACAGAATCTTATATTGTTCTAAATATACAGCACAAGTGTTGTGTTATAAAAGGTAGAAATTGACAACCAATTACATATAAAATCACATACAGTAATTACAACCATAATATGTTTACCTCTAGTATTTTCACAGACAACCCCCACCCCACCACTATAATACTTGCTGGCCACGCCACATAATATATCCTTCGGCAGGAAATCTGTATTCTTGTTATGCCTCATTTTCTGTTAAACGATATCGGATGCTCCACGGATCATGGTATTGTACAATGGATATATACAAACAATTTGGGACCAATATCAGTAACATACTCCCAGAATAATCATCAACAATTTAATGAAAAGAGCTTTGCTCAGTTCAGTCAAAATATTTTTCTTGTTGACAAAAAATGTCAGAAATGTAAATCTATAATGCAATAAAATGTAAATGTGGACGCATATTCCTGAAGCAATGGCCTGAGAAATCCCTCTCTGCCCATTGCTGGATTGGCTTCTGATACTTGAGCATTTGCGGGAGTATGTCTATTCCTGTGCAATCAAATCTATCCCAAGTACAGCAACATGACAGCCTTTTGTTTAATCTGGGGTCTTCCATTAAAGCAGTGTTTAGTGGGATTAGCTCTAATTAAACGAAACACTGTGGGGTGTATGATGTGGACGTTGTGATTTTTTTTTCATAAACTGAAACAAATAGATCTAGAAACAAAAAATGGAAGGAACTATTGAGACTTACGTGTAGACTTGTGAGTAAGAAATTCTATAACATTTTGAAATGACTGACCACACTCTCCACATTGTAGAATATCTGTAAAACTACTGTTTTCTATATTTGTTGACGAAGACAAATCTAAAATATTACACATAAAAAATAAAATTTAATATTTCTGACAACAAGCCAACAGTGAGGTTTATGTCCCTAACCCAGTGGTTCTCAACCTTTTTTTGCCAATGGCACACCTTGAAACACAAGAAAACATAGTGGCACACCTGGCTAAATACATATGAAAAATATCTGAATTTTGCAAAATAAAAACATGGCAAGTCAGACGGCATACAACCGTAGACAGAAACTACTCATAGACACATAGACTGACTCAAACTAAATAAAGAAAAACACAGCTATGAACTTATCAGTAGACACCAGCAAATACTCAATTGGGATCATGTGGTTTTTTGCATTTTCTTGGTGTGCCGTTCAAAATTCCGCGGCACACTTAGAAAGAATACTTATTTAAAATATCCGAATTATGCAAAATAAAAACATGGCAAGTCAGACGGCATACAACCGTAGACAGAGACTAGTCATAGACACATAGACTGACTTGAACTAAATAAAGAAAAACAAAGCTATGAACTTATCAGTAGATACCAGCGAATACTCAATTGGGATCATGTGGTTTTTTGCATTTTCTTGGTGTGCCGTTCAAAATTCCGCGGCACACTTAGGAAGATCTCGCGGCACACTGGTTGAGAATCACTGCCCTAACCCTTAATCTTGAAATAAATAGCTGACACACATTAATTATTTGCAAATTTATAAAGCATCCAGTAATAAAATTGCTTATCACTCTAGTTAACCTGAGAGAAAAATTCTCGTTATTGAACTTTGTCAAGGTACATGTATTGAAGTAATGAAACTATACAGCAAGTTTCATCACTTTCACTCAATAAGAATCAAAGTTATATTATAGTGTTTCAAAAAATCAACAAACCAAACTGCTTATCTCTACTTAGCCCCAGAGAAAATTCTCAGTCAATACATTCACACAACATCTACACTAACTTTGAACATTCTACTTCAATTAGAAGCAGGTTTATTTGTTCCAAAGGAGTGATTGCTAGATGAACGCATCCTTATAGAAGCTTGAATAAACCCATAAAGCTCAAGAATAACGAATGTAGTCAACAACAGAGTCAATGAACAACACAGCCAATGTATGGGACCCGATGTGGCTCGGTAACCGGGAGGTTGTGTTCGATCCTGGTTTTGGTCGCAAAAATTCATTGGAATTTTTCAGCATGGTTTCCCCCTTTTTAAAGGTGCAGGAAGCAGGGCCTGGCAAGGGACAGTGTAAATGTATACCATTCGGATGGGAAGAAAAAACAAGATCCTGTGTACACATTGGCATGCACATAAAAGAATCCTTGGCAGTTGGAATTTGATATTATGAGTAGTTTTCTTCATAGTACACTGTGTGGTGTATGTCCGTCTTCGTTATCCCAGTCGATGCAGAACAGTAGTACATTAAACCCCATTTCATTTTAGTCAATGGATCAAGTCTCTTCAGTTTAATTCTTTGTTATCAAATATTAGATAAGAGCAACACAAATTATACTCTGCACTGATATTATAAGTGGTCAATAAACTCATATTTCATGTTTTGTCAAAATCGGATAAAAAATGTGACCTAAAGACTGTCCACCATTAAATTGTGGACGGACATTTGGACCGTTCATGTATTTCACCGAACACAATACATTAGAAATTACAATATTTCTTTTAAAACTGAATATAAATCACTTTATATACATTCATGTTACAATAATTGTGCTTTTGGACACATTTTGGTTTATTTTAAGATTCACAAGAATAGAGCCATACCCTTTAAACTGTCATCAACAGTTCATTTATTTGTTACATGTATATTTGTTGTATTGTATTAATGTCATTTTTGTAATTGTATGCTGCTCCTTGTGGGCGTTTTTATGCAATAAATTTACTTACTTAATTACAGTAAAAAAGTAGCTAAGGGGAGATAACTATCATTGGGCCATAAACAAAGATTTCTCGCCAAGCTTTGGCTATAAAACATAATTTGGCCCCAGAATGTAAAAAAGATCATTTCAGTCAGTTACCCTTATGGAGGTCATAAAATGTGAAAAAAATATGTCCACCATAAGCCAAAGCAAGTAATTTTAACAAATAAGTATAATCCTGGAAGTATGTTCTAAATTTTGCTGAAATACATCAAGCAGTTTCCGAAAAGCTGAAAATACACTACATAAAGTTCCCTATCAGGTTTGCCCGGTCTAGTCCTCATTTGGAGAGAGAGAGAAATGGGGTATAACATCCACTCGACACAAACTAAGTCATATCGGGACTAACATAAGGGACTAATATTTGGCCACTTCCCTTCCGCATTTGGTCCAGAAAAAACATTTGAATAAATCTGAACAGCACTACATGTACCTGGGTAACATATCTATCAATTTCAATGTGTAACATATACTAAGTGCTCATAAATACATCCCAATGAAGGTACTCCTGTGGGGTCAAGCAACTTCATTGAACAAATGTGAATATCTGCAACAAAGCAACAGTTACACCAATCTTTTTAAAAATCATACCAAAATTAAGATCATCATCTGTCATTTTTAGATCATTATTTGACTTCATCTTTTCTTCAGAATTCGCAGTATCTTCTACGATGGTAACAATAAGGGTATCCTGGCCATTTAAAGATGTACCAGTTCTGCTGTCATCCATAACTTTAGAATACACTAAAATCCTTTTCAATTCCCATCTAGACCTGTGCTTTCAAGAACAAAAATGGAGAAAAAGATTAGTTTTTTTTAAAATTGTTAATTTAATCATCAGTATATTTGATTCAATTGACTTGCCTACTTAAATTAAAGAAGCAGTATGTAAGATTTAGATGAAGATCTAGCCATTCTTGCTATAATAGTGCAAAATAGATAATGTAAAATGAATATACGTGTATTGAAAATTTCAGCCAAATTACTTTATTCTGAGCAAAGATACTAGCTTTTGAAGGTTTGACAAGATGTGTGCATTGATTGTAACCACTGTATTGTTTGTTCGAAGAATAGCCTCACTTCTCAATTTATAATTAAATCATTAAATGGTCAAACCGTTCTAATCTTCTCACTATCCGAAACATGCGATGGCATCGAGGAATGATTTTCATCTTGCCATGTTAATAAATGTCTAATGAATAGTTTATGTAACATTTAAGGCCCAAAAAAGACCTGCAATAGGCAGATTTAGCTCCCACAGAATGCCTGTTTAATTATAAGTTTAATGGGTGAGTATGATCTGAAATTGTGCTTTCATTACCCTACATGTATATTCTAGACATCTTATTGAGAATATTAAAAAAAAAATACCACCAAGGACTTTTCATTTTATTTTTGCTTGGAGTCTTTGTAAATTTGTTACTTTAAGGCACGTCTAATGATTGAATCGGAACTTCATTATACATTCAACATGTTTCATCTTAAAATATATTACATTTTAATGATGCAGCTTCAATGCTTCATATTGTGAAATATTAATGTTTTATTTAAAGATGCATTATGTAAGAGTTAGATCAAGAGCTGTCTGTTCCTACTGAAAAATAGATAATAAAAAATGAATATATTGAAAATTTTATTCAAATTACTTTATTTTGATTGAGTGTTGGAAGATGTAACATAAATATTTTATTATTATTAAATTTTTAAATCTTGCAGGCGCTCAAGTCCGTTTAAATCTCTGTCATCTGATGATCTACAGAGTTGATTATGGGATTGTCATGTCTAAATAATAGTTTATATAACTTATGAAACCAATATAAAGACCTGCAATAGGAAGATTTAGCTCTTACAAAGTGCATCTTTAATGTCCCATTTGCGACCATAAAACAACACATAATCGATTTCCAAGTTATCTCCACCGGCATTCGATTTACCAAATACTACCCAATACCAACTAAATACTACATTGTACCACATACATGTACTACATAATACTGTGAAAAATATACCGCATATTATTGTGAAAAACTAATATAACACAGTGGTTGAATTATAATTTTTTTTTTTAGTTAATTCACAGAATTACAAAATTTTTACAATAAACTGAAAAAGTCTATGTATACATGTATAGGTATCAGTACCCAGTAGTCAAATATACTACCTTATTAATATTATTAATCAAAATTGATAGAATTCTTGAATTACTTCAATATCAATGAGTTAATTCCTCATAAAAAGTCCAAACATTTGAAATGTCTTTTTATATAGTATCAGTGATAAATGAAGCATGCCAGTTAACTTGTCCACACGAAATGTCTAGTTAAATTATCCACAAATATCAAAATATGTTGGTTGAGTCTTCCACACGGCATTGTTTGTTATGGAAAGAGATAGTATTCATAATGATTATAATTATCTGTGCTGACTGATACTTTTTGTCGTAACAACATTGTTTTCATAGAGTATAACTTTCATGACCTCAATTGGCAGAATATCGCCATTCAGAAGGTGACCACTGTCTAGACTGGTAGATCAATAATAGTTTTCATTTTTAGTTAATCTTGTATTATTACAGGCCCGGGACTGTACAGTGCAGTGGACGCTTACGGCTGGCTCCAAGAACAATTCAGTTGATATTTTGTTTTGGTGTTTAAATACTATTCACTGATTCAAAATAATCATCGTTTTATTGTTTCGGCTATTCATATTCAATCAAGAGGAAATTTTACAAAAAGGGCTGAGGGTCGCTATGTGTGCAAAAAAATTATTTTATCATTAGTTAGAATCGTCTTAATTCACAGTAACTATTGGCTAACGGCATGCATGCACGAAGGCAAACAATTCTATTTGCATATTTCATAGTATTATTGGCTTGAATTATTTTTAGATCGATAACCTCAATGGCAAACATGTACGTACTGTACTTACTGTAGAGTATAAGCATGTAGCACTATAGCACATGATATATCAAGTAATTCATTTTCCACAAACAAATGTGTTGTTATTCAAATAATTGTAATTTTTGGTAGTATTAACCCTTTATTTTACAGAAATAGATTGATTTTTGATAGTAGTAGTACATTTAATAATTTTTTTAAGCCTAATGAGTGAACATGGGAGATAACTGGAATAGAGAGATATTGTCATTGAATGACAATTAATCATATTTACCATACATTTTTTGCAAGTTTTCTGCAAATTTCTATATAATTATAATTGAAATATTATGTTAGATTTTCACAATAATGAGGTTCTGGTAGATCTAGTATTTAATTAGTATTGTATTATTAGTATTAGTATTAAGTAAATAAAAAACTAAATCGTCTCCATGATGATGTGTGGTTCAAACGTTCTCGAAAAGTTAATCATTTAGCAGAGCCAGATCATAGATAATACCGCATTATTTATGAACAGACCCATAATTATATCAATAGAAGAACAAACAAAACGGAATCGCACTGACGCCTGTTGAGTGTTCCGGTACAGTGCCAATCCAACCGAGTGTCATAGTTAGTTAAGTATTACTTAGTCTAAGTGACGTTCCCAGGAAAATAAGTTTTTTGTTTATCCTATCACTGGGAATTTCATCACCTTGGTAATCTTGCTGATCTTCATCTATCTGATATTTTTTCATTACCTATATTCATTTTACGTGAACATTCTCCACTTACTAGGTGGGAAATTGTGTAGATATACCTATACCTATAGCCTAAAGAAGTGAAAAAATATTATCTAGTCAACTTCCGTCAGAATATAAAAAAAGGGGAAACAACTCCATGTAAGAACGGTGTAAATGATTTTTGAAGCCACGCTTTTTGTGTCCGTTATGGGAAAATATTTCATGCGGTGGGTTGCCTAAAGTGTTGCACCTCGGGCTGTAATTGGTCGCTTACCGTTGGCTTGCGAACCTTGTTTAGACCCCCCCCCCCGCTTTGGGCACAATAATATGTGGCTGGGAGATAGGAGCGCCTTCTGAATATCGTGGGTTTTAAAATGGTTTCCTTCTACATTTACCAAAATAAGACCACTTGTCTGTGATATCACCTTCAGTGGAAGCGGAGTTAAACCTTACGAAAAAAAAAGGGGAAAATTTCATCAATGTAAATTCGTGTAACAAAACCCTGGGTTAAACTTAGTTGTTTTTTTTTAATTATTTTGTTGGGGGTGGGGGGTTGCTTACTGACTTTCAAAAATCATTTTTCCAAAAGTATTTATTTTGAAACCTACCTACAGGCATCTTAATTCACCATGTTACAGTTGAATTGGAACATTGGAATTTAGCCTGTCTTCGTTAGCCCGTCGGTGCAGAAAGGTAGGACGTTAAACCCCATTTCAATTTGGTTTAATTCCGTCAAGAATATCGCTATCCTTGAAATCTGTAACGCTTCAAGTGCGAATCTCTCTCTCTCTCTCTCTCTCTCTCTCTCTCACTCACTCTCTCCATCTTCCGTCCCCATATTTCGTCCCCATGTTAAACTTTCAAAAGTTTAAATTTAAAGGGTCACCATTTCTATAAAGTTATCTCTGTGGTGACATTCCAAGGGTCATCACCAAAGAGATAACTGCACATTAACTGTGTAGGAATCGTTGCCCTTTAAACTTAGGTTCGGGGATGAAAAAAACTCGAATTTATCAAGATACTAACGTTTTGCTAGCTTGCCAATCACCCCCGATCGAATTTTTATACACACATTTGCAAATTATTGGGATGTGGCATAACAGCCGTGTTCGACTTCGACCCATAATATCCCCATTCATCTCGACAAAATATACAGTTGGGGTTAAAATCGTAGTCACCTTAAATTATAGTCTTGGATACCCAGAATTATGTAAAATATATTTGTCTGAATGATAGAGACTACTTAAATTATCATTTTTATATTTTCATAATAGAAATATATTTCTATGATTTTCATAATGATATATTTCTACTAAAAAATAGAAAACAAAAGCCCCCCAAAAATACAAGGTTTATGCCATTTAATTCACTGCATGATATGGACAATTCTTCTTACACAAGCAGACAGTTTGTTTATGTTCTTAACCTTAGGGGTTTGAGAGTAGGATATTATCCACCCCTTCATTAGCATATCTGTCAATGGCTGCTAAGAGAATTTGTATTCATCAACAATGTGAGGTTAAATTATTTCAAGTCTTATTCTTTCTGTCTATCTGAGTGTCTAAGATGGGCAGAATATCTATAGACTAAATCCTATCCATGAAAATCATAATAGATGCCTCCTGATTCCAGGAAAAATGGTGATAAAGGTGTGTCGTATGACCAGGCTATTCAGTTTACGTCAAAAGGAACATTTGAACCGATTACTTCTTCATGTGTTGAAGAGTCAACAATGGGAAAATTTGGTCACTTACCACAGACAATGAAACTGTTAGGTATGTGTGAAAATTTAAGTGTTCAGACGCTATCTGATATGCGTCAAGGAGAAGATAGTGATGAGCAAAATGAAGTTACTTTCAGTTTATTTGACAGAGGTACATACCAAGATGTAGATGTTCTGAAAAACAGAGTGAAACAAATGAATGGACCTGACCGAGATAATAATATGCTCAATAATAATGAACCTTCAGGATCTAGACGACTTTTGGATATATCCTCGGATATAGAAACCGATATATCAGAAGTAGATTTGTGCAATGATGATTACTGTGATATGACCGAGAAAAACAGTAACAAAGTCTCCCTCGGATTTGTTCCAATAGTTAATGAACAAGAATCTATAATGGGAAGAGGTAGAAGTGTGTCTGATTCAGTGCTTCTTAATCATAATCGTAGAATAAATACAGTTGTTGAAAATGATAAATCTCATGCAAGAATTAAGGCAGGCTTATTAATGTCACCTATAGCTTTGACACAAGATTTGCCAGTTATTATTGGTAATGATCAAAACCGATTATCATACGTGATGGAGAATATGTCGTTAGTGTATTTACCAACCACCAAACAGTTAGTTACTGGTCAAATAACATCACAATCGCAACAAGACTCTGAGATTAGTCATAATGAGACAAATCTAAATGGGGCAGAAATTGACAAACAATTGTCTGTCGAATCACACGCATCAAACAATGGTTCGGAAGAGATGTCTTCGGAACTGGCATCTCCATTATCTAACCCCAGTGTATCAGAAGCATATCCCTATCATGTTGGACCTGATTTTATGTCAGGGAAAGACTTAGATCAAGTAACTCTAAATAGTGTAGAGAGTTTGATACCTCATGGTAACTCCAGTGATCATATGGGTAGAACTTACAATGACACATCAAGTTTATCAAGTGTCAGTACAGGAACAGACTTCTCTATATCTGCTTCAGTTGGGGATGATAACTCTGAATTTAAAACATTTTCTCTGGAGACTGATGAAGCAGGCTTTATGGATGTTAATTTACATTCTCGTAACTCATATCAGCGATCTCATCATAATATCCCCCTTGATACTGATAGTTGTATTGATGATAAAGGTGCCAAATCAAAGAAAAAAGGATTCACTAATTTCCTTTCCAGGTAAAAAAAATATTTTTAGTTGAAAATGTCAATTCTCATTTCAGGCCTTTAAAATTTCAAGATTTGTGCAAAATATTTTCTGTTCAGGCTGACCTTAAAAATATCTTTGTTTCACCAAACCCGACCCACAATCGAGGAGAAGGGTCGGTAGGTCGGGTTTTTTTTCAGATTTTTTTTTTTAAGAGCTAATTTGACAGCTTGATAATTTTCCGGGTGCAAACATTCGTCTTCTTTTATTGGCAAACAAATCAATGACATCGGGATTTTTCTTGATGCACGACTCGCACACAAATTGCGACAAACTCACGTTTGAAACTCCCTCAACACGTTTTTAACGATCGTGCGGGTTGTGCCTTTATTTTTCTCGAAAACGGATATTGAAAATATCGTCGTCATGTTTAAAACGACGCCCCACAGACATAGAGGCAGAATCATTTCGTGGGAATGGACGTGCTTTCGTCTGCAACCATTTTGTTGAGAAGCGACACCTATGACCCTTTCGTCTTGATCAACCAGTTTCAATAATGAATCAAACCATAGCCATAGTAAAGGGAAATAACTCTCGTGATATATTTCAGGTTGACACACAAAATAAAATAAAAAGATCGCGGAAAAGTGCAATAAAATAATTTAAGTCGGGGTGGTTTTAGTTAGTCGGTCGCGTTAGGCGAAACAAAGATATTTTTAAGGTCAGCCTCAACTGAAATGTTTTATTTTGTGCTGAATACTATTCATTTATGTCAAATCTGATCAGGTAGTCGATAGGTGATGCAAGTCATTTATGCAAAGTTCTTGTAGGTCTTGTTTAATAAAATTTTACAACAACAAACCTGCAAACTTGTACATGTAATTACAAACTGGATGCTTGGAAATGAGCCTTTGCTTGGAATTTGATGTTTTTAATTTTATATGCATGCTATTGCTATCATTTTCATCAAAAGTATGCCTGATCCTGTAGTGCTGGTATATTTACATAATTCCTGTTCCATGTAGGCCTACATGTACACATAGTAATACATTGTGTAGGCCTACATTGTGCAAATGCCTAACTAGCAGTATAACGACTGCTTCAGTAATGACTGCTGTACGGCTATAGTCTTCTCATCGTATGCAAATGGTTCATTTGATTGTCTGGATGGTGTGTTTACTAAATGGAAAAATATCACTCTGATTAAAATACAGATCTATATTTCGTTTCGTTTTTTTATACTTTCGATGGCCTACACTACATGAAGATCTGATCAGATGTTTTGGGAGGTCATGTCAGAGGTCATACGAGCTGCTTTTGACCCTATGACATCAGAAATTTGATTAACCAATCAGCATGTTTCTAGTGGATTACCCACAGTTTCGTGCACCCCATGGCAAAAGCTCGCTGTGACAGACTGTTTCATTGGCTAATCCCTCACATCCAGAACACGTCAATGATGACAACTCTTCCAGATCCTAGTGTAGTAAAGACAAGTAAAACGAAATTTTGAACTATAAAAAACGAAACGAAATAGGATTTGAAATATATCTGATCATAAAACTTTAGTTTCAAACAATTTTCCAATGAGTTACATACATGTAGTAAGAATAGACTGATTGACTGAGAGTGTTGTAGAATGTACATGTATAGTCTCAAATCGCCGGTGGTAAAACTTCAAAATGGTAGCGATCAAAATATGCAGCTAAATATTTGGGAGATTATCAATGGTCATATTCTTTAGCCATACTGCTGGGGGTGGTAAATATAGATTGTGGATCTAACATGTATATATATACATGTTTAATGTATGGGTTATTTAGAATTAAATGTAGTATGATGTACTACATTATATTCATATTGCCTTAATTATGTTTTAGATCAAGTTTCAATTTTAACAAGAACAGCCGAACACAGATTTTAGAATCTGTTGTCATGCTTGTCCCTCCACCTGTCTGATGGATCGTTGTCCACAATTGCTTGTGGATAATCTAGAGGCAAAAATTATCTGATTGACTTGAAATTTATACACTAGTGGTTATATTCGTTGTCAACGATTTCTGATAATTATTGTCAGAGTTATTGTCCATAATCACATTGAAAAATCTTGTGGATGCTTTAGGGGCTAAAGTTATTATCCAATTGACTTGAAATGTAGGCTATTCCTATGGTTTATGTTCATGAGATGAAGACATCTATTGATTTTCAATGATATCTGTTAATTGTTGCTAGAGTTATTGCCCTTGATCTTTTTGAAAAACCTTGTTGATTAACTAGTTTCTAACGAATATTGCACATGAATTCCAACACCTCTTAGTGAGTACACCTGCGATTCTGATTCTGGTCAGTGTATTATCTAAAAAATAGTTACAAATTTTGGTATGTATATTACAAATGGAGGAAGGGACATATAATGGACTGTTTGTATTTTTCTTCAGTCAGATTCAATGAGGAGAAATATGCACTATTGTGCAATACAGTGTACAAATTCAGGTCCTATCTACATGGAACCATGTCTGCACAGCACTTTGTTTTCTATGTTGTCCTGAGTGTAGATTGTACATGCCGTTATTCACTGTATGCTTAATCATGATTTTCCTGGCCTGTTTTCATTTGTAATTTTATATGCAATTACCATATCTGGCTACAGTACAAAGATGAGATGAGGCTCAGGCTGACATTGCTGATATGTCACTGCCACTGGTATATTTAATTGTACTGATTGGTTTAGGTTTTGTCGGCCTACATACATGTTTAAAATTTACTAATTGCAAGATCTATTCATCACGACATGTATCCTAACACCTCCTGTACGAACAGCAGAGATTACTTTACAATAATAATAATATATTTATCCATCCTATACATGTGGAACATATTTTTTAATCTCACAGTGTTTTATTACTTCCCATAACATAAAGCTCACAGAACACATTTTTTAAAAAAAGGGTCATTATGTAGTAATCATTACTATTTTATAATCTATTTTAAAAAACCTCAATGCACACACTGTAAACTCTGGAGTCTGAACTATTTGTGATCAAGCACAATACATTAAAACTTTAAATTAAAAACGTTAAACTAGGATTTTATTTTAAAAACCTCCTGACAATGGATTTACACAGATATATTTTAAATTTTGTACACAGTCTGAATTTAACAACATACATCACTGATCGGCTAGACAGCTTCTATCCTGTACTACTACAATGTACCTAGTACTAAAATGTATTATATGCACATAACAAAAAAGAGTTCACTTACCGGCTAGACAGCTTCTATCAACAAAGTGATATCTCTTTAATATGCATGTATACATAGATGTGGATTAAAGATGCATTAGGTAAGATTTAGATAAAGAACTCTGGTCAGTCTTGCTATTAATACTTGTACGTACTTCAAAAACAGATAATGAAAAATGAATATGTTGAAAATTTATTCTGTGTGAAGTAAAGATGTTGCATTCATCCTTTATTATTGTAAAAACTGTACCTGACATCCAAGGCCAAGTCTTGATTATCCATTTTATCGCTAACTTTTTAAATCTCAAGGGTGTTCAAATCCATTAAAATCTTGGCTGTCTGATGTTCTAGAGAGTTGATTTTTGACTTGTCATGACATGTGAATAAATGTCTAAATAATAATTTAGATTTGAAGCCAGAAAAAAGACCTGCAATAAGCAGATTTATCTCTTACATAATGCATCTTTAACATAAAAGAAGAAGATTACTTGCAAAGTGTTTAGAACCAGTTCCTGGTTAATAAATCATTATACAAATTCAGTGTCACAATATAACCTGTTAAAACTATTACTTGTACAGTCTGTAGGAGCTAAATCGCTAATATTTATTTGGGACCTAGAAATTGACAAAAATGAGTCGCAACGCATATAATAATGTAATATGAATGTATATAAACTGATTTACATTCAATCGTTTCTGTTTTTACTGTAATTTCTAATCAGTTATGTTCGGCGAAATACGCCAGAAGTCTCATGTGAATGGCAATTTTAGCTTCTGGTTTTTCCAGTCAACACCGACGGTATTTATTGCGCATGCTCTCAAGATAAGAATATAGCATCACCATTTGACATGACTTGTGGAATATGTCTAGCCCTGTTCTTTGAGTCTCTTGTTCCAAATGGCGCTGAAACGCATTATGGTACACGATTCGTGTACCAATGGTAAAATGTTTATTTTGTCTTGAATATTGGATATCAGAAGCCCATCTTTTCCCTGTAAGATCACAAGACCAATGTTGATTTGAATTGACAAATAATTCGTGTTTTCAATGTTGAAGATTTTTGATGATATTGAGTTAGAGACTTAGCTTCTTTAAGTCTATTACTACTACATTTACAGAGTGACTTTCAATACATGTTGTAGGACAAAATGCAGCAAACAAGAAAATCAACTATTTTGAAAGTTAAATGACCTATAATGTTGTGGAACTTGATGACATATTAGATCATTTGTGCTAGTTATTTTATCGTGTCTGAATGTATTAAACATAAAGCATGGATAATTAATTGTATAGCTGTAGGCTACAGGTTGGCCTAATGTCACTACAATTCTTTGTAGAAGATGAAAAAGATAAATTTATTGCCTTGCCACGCCTATTGTTGTTGTACCGGTATATATGAATATGTAGGTTGATATCTCTGTCTTGAGTAGGTGTGTACTCTCCCTGTCTTACTCAAGGTTTTAAAATCTGTGAGTCGCATATATCCACCTACATGTACAGGCGCAGGGTATTAGTCATAACAGTTTTATACCGTACATGTATTACTATTACTGGTATTATTTAACAATTTGCTTATAACTAGTTTAACAATTACCAATAGATTAAGTACTGGCTCAGTAAACAGGAAGTCCTGGGTTCAGTCTCAATGTTGGTCGACTAAGTTCCACAGGATTTCCCTGTCCTGTTGCAGGATGGAGGGCCTAGTAAAGAAAGGTATCTAGTCATTTGGTTGAGACAATAAACTGTATTCTCATGTACATGTTTGCATGCACAAAATGTCTTCTTTTAG